CTGCCGTAAATCGCGTATACGCCATGTGGTCGATGGAAGACCTTGCACCTTTCCCATTGCCCGGAGACAATCTCGACGTAAATGTATGTATGGCCTGCGTTTATGGACGAGCCGCAGCCGCAGCAATTTCAATAAATCTTGGCAATGCCCTAAAAATATTAGCATAATAAAAGGCGCGACAACAAAACAGAAGGGTCAAGTCAATATTGGAGCAACTGGCAGAGGCTTCCAGCGCATTTGGCACATTTACACAAACAGACACAGGCAGTAGTAGGAACAGCAGTAGGAGCAAATTTATGTCAGCAACAAGCTATCAAGCAGTTCGGATACAGGATACACCCACCATAGCCGGCCCCCCAAACGACCTTAATACGCATAATTTGGCGGAGGCAGGGGTCCTTGGCTATGGCCCACAATGTGCTGCAGGCTTCGATCAGCAATAAAAATTCAAATTTTGCACAGAGCGCACAAAAATGTTCGCTGTCAAGCGGTGTTGCTCTTAAAGAAATACCCTGTCATGTGGGGTAATATGATTTCTGTGGTCTCAAGAGGTGAATTTAAAAAATTATAATATATAAAATATATAAATAATAAAAAAGTATGATTCAAAAAGAGTCGCTTAAAGACGAAATGCTAACTCAAATATTTAACTATAATAATACTAAATAACTGGTACTCTTAAAGTTTATTTTAATATAAATTATTAAGCCAGAACTTCTTTATAATTTAATTATTAAATAGTATAATTTATGTTTCCAGTACTAAGGGCATAGTGAACTTCGTCGCGATGCTAAAATGTAGCCTTGTTTCTTCCGCTCTCTCATATTCGATAATGTGTGTGATTGCCCAGATATGCAGATATGTCATATCTTGTCTACAAATATATATATATATTTATATATATATTAAATATAATATATATACAAGCATATTGTCCCGGGAGAACACCCAAACTCAGCTTCATCTCCTTTCCATTCGAACTCAGCTGAGTTCTCCCGCCTTCACATTTTTGCCAATTGGCCAACAAGTGTTGCCAAATTGCGTTGCGGTTGCTGGCCATAAATAACGGTACTTTTGTCATTTATACACATAAATTGCAGCAGACGCTGAAACGCGAAAAAAAAAACGAACGAACGAACCAAAAGCCAGTAAGCCAGTGCAGGAACCGTTACTGGCCATGTCCTGCTTTGGTATGCTGTTGGGCTTATACAAAAAATAGGCCTCCTGCTATTCGTCCAGCCAGGATGCTGGATACTGCGATGTTGCTCCTGTGCTGCTGCTGCTGCTCACACTAACGACATTGGCGACACAACGCAGCTGTCGCTTGCCATTTGGCAATAATTGTTTAATATGCGGGCGCATAAAGGCGGTCGCCCCATAAAAAAGCACCAACAGCGGGATTGGAAGCGCACAGCTGCTGGCGGATGGCAAAACTGGAAATGGCTAAGCCCGGAGTCCTGGCGGAAAGGAGTCCACACACGTGTGCGTTTGCTTCCGTGTCCGTGTCCGTGTCCGTGTCCTCTTTTTAGCTCGTGTCCACTGGCGCTGGCTGGTTGCAGCTGTCACGTACGGCATATCAACTTGATTCGAGGCCAAGACCCAATCGGAAGTTGAAATGAATGGCACAAAACTTTCAAGAGTCGTACCAACTAATTGCGTTACAAAATGCCAATGAGGATTGAGGCGCCCCAAAGTATGCAGCACTCTGCCGCTTCCTACTGCAGTTAATTACAAAACTGTCAAATCCAAAAGGTGCCACGAATCAACGATGAAAAGCGAGGAAAGCGCACAAACGACTCGCACACACACTCATACAGTGTGCTGTATGCAGCAGCAGCAAGGAAATGCGGCCAACAGAGAGAGAGAGGGGAAGAGAGTGAGATGGGGTTTAAACCAAATAGGCAGATCAGCCAACAGCTGAACGAGTCGAAATTCCCAATAAAAACAAACAAAAAACAAACAAAACAAAGGCTAGGCAGTGGGCGGTGTCCTGTGTCCTGTGTACTCTGTTGCATTGTGTGTGGACTTTTGATGCTGGCGCATATGTGTGTGTGTGTGTAAGTCGGTGTGAAATATAATTTTGCTGTATTGTTGTATTAAATGATGTCAACAACAGCCGCCCAGCTGAGCTCGAGTCCCGGAGTCTCCAGCCGTCGAATGCCCAACCAAATCGAATTTAATTGCATTGCCGCCGCACGTTGGCTTTTAATTAATTTTTGCTGCCTTCTGTTGCTGCTGCTGCTGCAGCTCAGTCAGCACCCTAAAAGGCCAAAACCAAACAAACTAAGCGCATACACACTCACATTTACACACATACCAACCAAAAACCAGCAACAACAAACACTAGCGACAGTCGAAGCTCGACAGGGCAACATCAAACGTCATGCACAGGTGCAATGTAATTAGCACGAACTGACAAAGCTTGCCAAGGACCCAAGGGAGGCGAGGGGCACAGTGGCAGGACTTGGCGGTGGCAGTATGAAACATAAAAACAAAAGCAAGCAAAACCTTTAAGCCCAAATGCATACAAGCAAAAGCGGAGCGATCCAAACCAATTCAGCCAACGAGAGCAGCAGCAGCAACCAGAGCAAGTGGCAGAGCCAGGCTAAAAGGATAAGGAGTCTATGGTGAATATTCAGATACTCTAAAGGATGCTGTCAATATTTTCAATATTTATTTTTTGATGTTTATCTCTGGGTATATTTGAATGATTTTATGCTCATATTCAAGAGTTCTCATTAATTTTAATGCATAGATATTTGAGTCAAATAAAAAATAGTTTATGGTATTTAGATTATGGAATATGTATATTTATATAAATCATTTTAATAAATATATTCAAGACCCATTAAACATATAAAGCCCTAAAAGCAGGCAACACATTTGTGCCACTCTGCCATATGAACTTCCTGTTTAACTTGAAACCCGTTTTAATCACTTGAGAAATCTGAGCTAAAGCCCCACAATCAATTCACAATACCCTTCGTCCTTGGTTAGGGAAAACCAGGCAATGGGCAACAAAGGGAATGGCAGCGGAAGCAGCAATAGCAGCAACAGCAGGAGCAGCAGGAGCAGCAGGAACACTGGTGCCCGTTTGGTCGTAGCTCCACTGGCAGCGTTTTAATAGCTTTGGAATTCCAATGGCAGCTGTGGCGCCATCGCTGAGCTCCGGCCTTTTGCCACCCAACACGCCCAGCGCCCACAACTCCCCCTGTCCGTCCGTCTGTCCACCGAAAAGCTTTCTAAATGAGCCCAAAAAGAGAGGAGCGAACGCATTGGAGTAGGATTGTAGGCAGCGGGTAGCACAATGGCAACACCCCCAGGGCATTCTCTTGTCGAACATTTCGAAAAATTATTGAGAAATTTTTAATTTTCCCACTTACGCAGGCGAGGCGCACGCGAAGTTACAATTACAACAACGTCAGCAGGAACAGGAGCAGCAGCAGCAGCAACATCACTTGCCTGTTGGTGTCAGCTGCAATGGCTGTTTTTGTTGTTGCTTTTATTGTTATTAGCTATGCGAACGTATTCATGCACTCTGCACCCACAACTGCCATTTTGTTTATGACATCGACGATGGCGCCGCGAAAAGCAAAACGGGGGGCAAGGCAGGGATGGCGAGTTTTTGGGGGTATTTTCAAGGGGGGGGGTTTAGCTGCAGCTGCTGCAGATGCAAGTTTATGTGCATTTGCAGCATACGAGGTTCGCCCTTTACATTGTAGATTTCGCACAAAGGATCACTGCGAGAATTGCGTTTTTGGAAGGGGAAAACAAAAGTAGGAATGTCCTTGAGGATGTTGCACATGGGTTTTTTTTTTAATTTGTACAATGATTGAAAATTAACAATGAAACTAACTTCTAATTAATAGGATAAAATCGGAAATAGCTTGTAACTAAGTTGAAAATATTTGCATTCTTTAGATGGACGTTTTTATGACAATTTTTTTGACTTACTAAAGTTTTAAAATTTCACAACTAAGACGAAAATTCATTAATTTCAATTCGGAAAGCTGTTCTATGCTAGTTTTTATTTGGTTAAAAAGTCTGCATACTCAATTTCAAATTTTAGGAAACTATTGAATCCACTTTTAAGCATGGGCTCCCAAGATTGTAAGAAACAAGTCGAAAATAAGTTCAAACAGAAGAGATTAAGTAATCCAAATCTCATTCTATTAATAAATTCTTTCCAATTTCCAAAAGATCTCTTTGTAACTTGTGCTTCAGAGGAGTCCTTGAATATTTATATTGTCTACTGAAATACGTTTCCCGCTGGGCATGAATATCCCAAAATAAAAGATATATTTAAAACATATCTCCTTCGAATATCAATTAAGATCCTGAGAATGGCAATAAGAAACAAGAGAAAACCTTATTCCTTTACCTGAAAGCACTTTTGGCCATTGACGAAGTTGTGTCATGCCAAGGAGCACAACCAATCGCCACCCTGCAAATGCCTGCAAAATGGCGCCCAGCTTTGTTTGCCATTTCTTCGTTTTTTATGATTGCCTGCCACAACTTTTTCGCCATCGACATCGATATTGGTGGCCGCCGTCGTCGACGATGTTGCAGCCACGCGTAGCTTGCGGTTGCCAGTATCTTGTTGTTGCTGCTGCTGCTGTTGGTGTTGTTGCTGTTGTTTTGTATGGATTTTGCACATCGTTTATCTTAGGCGACGGGCAACGGAGTCGCAGCTGCCGCTAGCAAGCGGAAATGGCGTTAATGTTGCAACAGCAGCAACTGCAAAAGTAGCGAGGCAGTAACGCAGGCAGCAAACGCAGCCAGCAAAACAGAGGCAACAACAGAGGCGGGCAACCTACAGCAGCTGCCAATGAGCGAGAACTTAATCTTGGGGATTTAACACTTTCGATATATCTTGTGGCGGTAGCAGCATCTTCTGGCCGTAAAACGTATTGGCTCCCATTATCGGTTAAGCTGCCATTTTATGGCCAAGAAACGCGACCGGCTTTCCAGCGCACAGTGAGCAGGGAAACATCTTCATCACCATTTGGTATCAGTCGTTGTTTTAAGCGTTAAAAATACGAGTACATCGGAACATTCATACATACATTAAACATTTAGCTATCTATACACACACACAGATTTTCCTCAGAGACCCGACTTGCCGGAAAGCAAGGCCTCGAACTGCTCCTGGTTAAGAGGACGATAGACGCCATCCCGATTCAGATAGTATATGGGATCCTCCAGCTTCTCCAGATCATAGCCCTCTAGGGCTAGCTCCCGTTTCTTTAGCTTGAAGGTGGCCGTACGTGGAATCTCATCCAGCAGACGGATGAACAGAGGTCGGGCGTACGGCGGAAGACTGCCCCGCAACACCACCGACAGGTATTCCATGTCCACCTTGCGTTCGGGATCTACAATCGCCGCCATTCCAGCCTTGCCCTCCACATGGGGGATCTGCAAAGATAAGAGCGTGGTGGTTGCGTAAAGATAGTGAAAATCGAGAAACGAGTTTTATGGGTATGTTTTAGGTGCCGTCTTATCTAACCCGTGGCGGTGATTCAACTTGTTCATGGGAATATGCTTTTGGAATCGGTTTATATAGACTCTGAAAACGAGTTCCCATTTCCCAATAAACTCACCTGCACGCCGTACACCACGCAATCCTCGAGACCAATGCAATTTGTAATGATGGCTTCCACCTCCTGGGTGGCCACGTTCTCGCCCCGCCAGCGGAATGTATCACCCGTGCGATCCTTGAAGTAAAAATAGCCGAGTATATCACGCACCACCATATCGCCAGAGTTGAAGAAGACATCGCCGGATTCAAAGACATCCCTCAGTAGCTTCTGCTCCGAGGCTCCCTTGTCCGCATAGCCATGGAAAGCGCTCACAGCCCGCCGAGCATCAACCTTGCCCACCAGCAGACCCGTCTCCCCGGGCAGACACCGGATGCAGTGACCATGTGAGTCCTTTATTAACTCGCCAGTCTGCTCGTCGCACCGCAAGATTTGGACGGGATACAGTCTTGCCCCATACACTGGGACAAAGCCGATGGCACCCACACGATTGGAGATATTTATGAGGTTCGAGTTGCCTTCGGTGGCTCCGTAGATCTCCCCAATGTGAGGTATTCCGAATCGCCGGACAAACTGCGACCAGATCTGCGGCCTCAGTCCATTGCCATACATTAAACGTAGATTGTGTTGCTGCTGCTCCGGTGTATAAACCGTGGCCAGAAGGTAGCGACAGAGTTCTCCTATATACTGGGCCACAGTGCAGTTGTAGCGGCTGCAGTCTAGCCAGAAATTTCTGGCCGAGAACTTCTTGCGAAGCACCACAGTTGAGCCATTGAGGATGGCATTGCCCACACCCACAATTCCGCCGGCGGTGTGGTACAGTGGCAGGGGATTATAGACGACATCTTTGCTGGTCATTCGCAGCATGTAGAAACTTCCGGCGGACATGAACAGGAAACGCAGGTTAGTGATCACAGCAGCCTTGGGCAAGCCCGTGGTTCCCGAGGTGTAGACATAGAGCAGCTTCGAGCGAGCCTCTTCCTGTGAGTTTTTGGCTGGCAGCTCCAATCTCGGCTGGGTCTTTAAGGCTTCACTCAGGTCCACAGCTTCCGGCAGCAGCTCGTGTCCCTGGATGTTCCTTAGCTCTTCATCGGTGTATTGATAGATGGGCAGATCCTGAAGCTCCTCCTTGTCTATAAGGGATTGTAGAACATCCAGCAGTTCGCTGCCCACTATCAAGGCCTTGGCTTTGGCCACCTTTATGCTGTGTTGAAGTGACTCCCCGCGCAGATTGGAATTGATGAGGGCAGTAACTACGCCCAGCTGGGAAAGGCCCAGCCAAATGCAGGGATACTCCGGTCGGGTCTCCATCATCAGAGCCACACAATCGCCCTTCTTCAGGCCTCGACCTTTGAAGTAACCCGCTATCTTTTGGCTGAACTCCAAGGCCTCCGCGAAGCTCAAGCTGCGATCCTCCATCACAAAGCAGGCTTTCTTAGGCCGAGACCGAGCCTGATCCTGAAAACAGCGAGCCACGGTGAATCCTCTGCGATCTTTGAGGAACAGGTAGATATTGAGGGCTACGAAGCGATGAAGAGCCCTAAAACAGGGGAATCAAGTCAACTATACATTCTCGTTAACTTATCACAAGCTATACTCACTTCAAGTCCCTTGATGCGGTCATAATTAGGCCAAAGACGAAGATGGGATTCCTCAGCAGCAGGGCCACAGCTGCTCCGAGCGTGAGACTGGCCACAGCGTTGTCCCAGCAGAAGCTGGCGAAGATCAAAATGGCCAACAGAAGTGTGGCCATCCGTGTGGCTAGCTTCTGCTTGGGGCTAAGCTCCAGCAGGATCTCCATTTTCTCTTCCTGCGGATCCTCCTGATCGCCGCGTTCCTCTTTCCCGCTCACTTCGAAGCGCAGAGATAGACAGTAAAAGCAAACATGGTCGAATTAGTAACTCAAACAGCTGGATATTAGTATTGTGACAGCTACGGCAAGGCCTAATTTTGAAATTTATGGACTGACTGTGGGTACGGGACCCTACACACTTGCGCCTAGGGCAACCGACTGCGAGCGACTGCCTGTGATAAGCCTGACAAGGCGTTGTCTGATACCGATTTACTATCGTTTTGTGGGTCGCAAAGTTCTTATCATCAACTGCCATGAGCAATACATGAGGTTTCAAATGGGGTTTTCGAGGGAGTGACAAATACTAAAGGTATCAAGTTGGATTGCCGTCGAAAATCCCACTTATACACTGAAAACAATTACGACAATAGCAACAGAGACTTAATGAATTTATAATAAAGTTATCAATTATAATAACTTGAATGGAAAACCAGTACTTGCACCTGCAATTATAATGAACTTTGAAAAGATATAAATTGTCTGTGCTATAAAGAACAACTTTATAAATAAGTTAACCCACTTTGTTTATATGAATGTATTTTTGGAAATTACTAAACAGAACCGAAGAGAGTCGAAAACTTTTTACTTTAATAGGGGACACTAAACAATAACAAGTTTATAGTTAAACTAATTGCCAGGGTTGTTAACCACACTTAACTGGCACTAAAGTTGGCAAGAAAATTATGAAAAAGGTTATTGCTTTTATGACTTTAAGTACTCTTACTGTTTTCATTTCCCCTTTACATGTGAAAATGACTAATTACTCTACATTTTACGGCATAATTTAATCGGATTTTTTCATGGCACTTCACAACCCATTGATCATGGAAATTTTGTTTCGGATTGCGAATAATCTGTCCGCCTATTTAGATTAGTCTGTGGGTTAAGTGGAGCCCCATTGAGCCTTATCAGTCCATAAAAACTGCACCACCACCGAGACGTTGAACCTGCCCTGGAGCAGAGCGCACAGCTGATAGCGCAGCGTCTGGTTCTTTGTTATGCCGGCTTATCGCTAATTAATTCAGTTGGCTGCCAATAAACAGGTGCCAAAACACATGGCATCTCTGCCGATAAATCGCCTTAACTACAGTAAATAATTTCCAATGTAATTGCGTCCACAGGAGGGTTAAGAAATAAGCTATCAAATGACGTCGCTCCAAAGTTCATTGCTACTGACGAGATTCCTACATGGACACGGGCGCTATCTCTACGAGTCTCTGGGAAGCATGAGTTATGTTATGTTCTGGCGTCTATGATGTTCGGTACCCAGGGACCTTGACTTATTGCGTATGCCAAGCACACACACAGTTGTTGCTATAAGCTATTCTCCACACACTACACATTGTTCTTGGCGCTGGCCACGCATGCCCCATCGATTTACACGGCCAAAGCACCACCGACGGACTCGCTCTATTGGCGCCATGATCGTTATAGTTAACTTTTCAATGTCAGGTCAGTGAAGCACTCCTCCTCCTCTCCCCCACAGTTGACATACTTTTGATTCGCACGATCTCTATCGGTTCTTGGCAGGGAGAAGTAAACAGTAAACAGATATAGACAGGCGACGCACGACCGATCTGAAAGCACGGAGGCAGATCGCGTAACTAACTGTAGCCGCGAGTGAGTGGGGGCCTTTATAACCACAGCCGCACTGTGGAGTTCTGGATGTATAATTTGAGAATTTTGTACGAATCTGTAAGATATGGAAATCACATACATTTATTATAATAAAATATGCAATAAAAAAGAAGTTTAATAGATGATTTGGTGATTTGGTAGTAGAAATTTTTTGATAAATAAAACATTATAGTCTCCAAAAATTCGGTTTTTCTATTTTATATTGCATGATATCAGAAATTGTATTTATGATTATTATATATGCAATTCTGTTTTATGGTTCATTTGTCTTCCAGTTCCCCACTGTTCTTGGCGTCCCAAAGCCAGCAACATGAGAATAAGAGTTGATAAAAGAGAAAATTAACGATCACAGCATCATTCGCTTGAGCAACGAGAGAGAAAAGCTTGAAAAAATATACATACTTTCAAATACATATATATAAAATATAAAGAGAGGTAGAACAACATTTGCCTGAGCTTTAGAGGTAAATATGGAGAGACCGAGATTCTCTTAGTGTTGATAATGTTCTCTTAACGAATAAAAAAAGAAATTGTGTTTTAAAAATGCTTAAAAGATAAGGGAAATTAATGTCTGATTTAAAATAAATTTAAATTAAGCATTGCGTAGATGTGTTCATAAAATATTCGCATTGTTTAAATCCATATATATGAAAATTTTGATATGATAATTTTTTGGACAAATCAAAGTTTAAAATATTCATAACTTTGCCAAAAACGAATTTATTTCAATTCGGAAAGCTGTGCTGTGTTAATTTTTATTGGGGTAATAAATCTGCATACTAATTTAAAATTTGTAAGAAACTCAAATTGTTGTCAATTTTGGACAATTTTAGCGACCCTTTTAAAATTTAAAAAAATTCAAAAATTTTTAAAAATTTTGTTTTTTTAATATTTTAATGAAATTTAATTAGGATTTTAATTGCGAGTCGAAATATATGTGACTTTTGGCAATCAAATGCGTTTTACGGATTTTATGACCTCCAGAAAACCTGAAATGTGCCTTAGAAATAATATATAATATAATATAAGGTTTTGATTTAAGCTTAGCTTACAAACCGTTATCAAAGTTATATTCAACTTCAAGTTCCAAAAGTTAAGCAATTGCCCGAAACATCCTACTTAACAATTGGCCCTTTCCACCTGTTACAGTGCTTCGAGAATTTTTTTAATTAAGCATTTTTTATTCGCCAACAAAAACAAAAACGAGCCCCACAACCGATTGCTGCCTCCCCCTCCCACTCCCCTGCTCCCCCACACTGTCACACCCGCCAGCCAAGTGCTGTGTCAAAATAAATTAACATAGGGCAGCGCAGCTGGCGGCGACGCTGGCGTCGCTTAGCTGTCAAATGCCGGCAGCACAAATATAAAAAATATGTGCATACTTTCGCTTGGCGCATATAAAAAATGTGCGCATACTTTTTGGCAGCTTTTTGAGTTATCGACGGTATGAGAGACCGAAACTAAGTGAGCGCATACATATATATATATATGTTTGGGCGAGTATGTGTGTGTGTGTTTGTGTGGTTGTGCCGGCTGCTTTCAGTCCCAGTCAGCAAGTGTATACGTGTGTGTGTGCGAGTGTGTGGGTGCCTGTAATTGACACATGTTACGCGCACAAAAGCGGCTGCGACCCGAGGCTCAGTCCATCGTTATTATCGACAATGGCGCCGCCGAAAACACACACAGTAGGAGAGTAGCACTCGCAGCCGCACACATACACATACACGGAGGCCATATTTCGCCTCTTCCTCTTCCACGAGCAACCGTTATTCCTTCATGCCGTCAGATGCCTTTGCTGCACAGCCTTCAAATGCAGGCTCGCAGACACGCAAGCTGGCAGCCTCAGTCAACTTTGTTTGTAGCCGGCGAAAACAAAAACACACACAGGCAACACACACACACCACATACACAGAAAACGAAACAGACACGGCACAGCACAGAAGAGCTGGCTAACACACTCACAAAGATACAAGAGAGGCAAGTATATAAGGTAGAGGCTATCCTATACCCAGCAAGCTACGGAACATGTAGCATACTTTTTAGGGTTATGGAGGTTTGCCAGGAAACCACGAAGAAGTAAGTGAATATATCTTATTGCCAACCAAGGATATATGTTAAACGAATAAGGAAGCATTTCCAACATCATTAAGTTTTTATAAACTCTATTATTAACATCAGACAAATCGATTTTACCATGGTAATCTCAACCAACTTTCATTTTTCAAAAGAAACACCTAGATTTTAGAAACAAAATAGGGAAAAGTCAAAGACTATTTAAATAGTTTCTTTTCATTTTTAAAATATATAAATTAACAAAATATCCCTTAACTATATTTGAATACACCCCAATTAAAAGGGTATGTATAAGCACACGTACCAATCAGAGAGCTACACACCGGCACAGCGGCTTGCTGATAACGTTAACGTCAGCTGTGCGGCACTTTGGGCCACACGTGAGTTCTCTGGGTCTGGTTCAGGGCCAAAAGCGGGTGGCCAGGGCCATTGGGTAGATGGAGTTGGGCTCCCCCCCAAGTCGTGCGCAGGCAAGCGTCAAACGGTTTGTACCTTAAACCCCCGGGCGACGGCATCCTTGCCCCCGCCGCTGTGCCTGCACTTGGCATTTGTTTGTGTTGTCAACAAAAGTTTCTTTGAAATCAGTAACAGATGTCGATTGAAATGGCACAATTGCTGCCAGCGCCGCAGCTCGGCTGCCCTGTAATGTCGAGCCATCGCCGGGTGGCCGCCACTTATGCTGAATATTTTTATGCCAGACACACACACATATACAGAGGAGCATAGGACCAGGCCAAGATATCCGGCGAGCGGGCCCATTGTGCGCTAGTTGCCTGTCACATTTTAATTAAAATTTCTGCGCCCAAGTTTTAATGTTAATGCATTGGCATCGATTGGATTGGAGGAGGAGCAGGAGAACAATACAAGATGGGAATCGGTTTTGGTTTAGAAGTGAGAGATATATACTTGGCTAATTGGTGGTATATATGAGAAGGAATTGAAGAAGTTATAGGGATGAGAACTGGGTAATAATTAGTATTTATTAAAATTATATTAGAGGAAAAAGTGTTCTTAAAATATAAGCAAGGGTTGGCAAGAAATTCTATAATATATAACTTTTAAGTAGGATAACCTATACTAAGACCTAAGAACATTATAATTAGAACTATCATTACCTCCATTACCTCTCCTTTAAGTTCTTATTTTCCGAAATAACTTTAAATTTAAAGAGCATCTAAGCTTCGCCTTGGGTGTCATCCTTTATGCATTGTGTTCCCCCTTGTTGACATCCTGCGCCTCGCTCTCTCTATCTCTGTGCCAGTTTGGTTTGTGGCTGCTGGCGATAACAAACGATAACTGCATGTTAAATAGAAGCTAACGGTATACAAAGGGGCAATCGAGAGGACGGTAGCCGGGGTTAGATCCATGGATGGGCCAAAAGACATCCCGGGGAGCAGGGACAGCCAGCACATGCAACCTGGACGCTGGACGTGCAGCCATTTGAATGTGCAGGCATCTCGCTTCAAACAAAACGGAAGTGGGGATACCTGGAGTAGCTGGAGTTGTGCTTTGGGAAATCACTCAGGTAGCAAATGCCACCATCATCATCATCATCGTCATTGTTGTTGCTGTTACTGTTGTTGGTAGTGGCCGAAGGGTTGCAAAAAAGCGCAGAGCATCCTAGACAAAAGGCAGAAGTAAAGGCAAGCTGCTGCCGTCTGCTGGCGTCCTGTGTGTACGTGTGCGTGTGGGGTAGCCGCAAGGCATGTGTGCCAGTGTGTGCGTGTGCAACAAATGTTGTGGGTGGCATCGTCCTTGGGGGAGAGGGGCCGACGCAGGCTAGGGGGCTGTGCTGGGATGCTCCCTTAACGAGCTTTTACTTGGTCGCTTGCAATGCGACAGCAGCAGGTGTGTCATACAAGCACACAGCCACAGATACTCGTACTCACCTCCCCCGCCACGCACACAGATACTCACCCACACAGACGGTGCGCACAGCTGAGTGACGATAATTGAAATTTCATCACAGTAGTTTGTGGTTTTCCAGCACACACTCACCAGGCACACCCGGGCACACCCGCTCTCACACACTAATGCGCAATTCATGGCCTTCTTTCGGGGCTGCCAATCGAAATGTTATTTTCTAATTTTCTAATATGGCAGAAGGACGAAGGGTAACTGCAGGACAATCGGATCGAAATCTTTGTTTTGGTTTAAAACACTTTATTTCTTGGGTTTTCCTTGCGGCCTGCAGCCTTTTTGCTTTTTGTAGGTGTAACATTTACTTGGTATTTGTTTATGGTAAAAGTACATTAAGTTTTAGTTTAGGGAGTACAATAAATACTAATCAATAAATTAAACTCAATCAATAAATTAGCCATAATCGTAATCATATCCATAGTAATAATATACTGTATTATTATTAATAAAATCTACTATGTTCAGTTTTTTGTTTATGCTTTGCTTTGGGTTGCTTACTTACACAACTGTGTGGTGTTTACGGTTTATGTTTATCAAATGTTGCTTTTAATTTTCATGATATTACTTGCTTATGTAATCTTCAATAGTGTGCACATATTGTTAGTAATATTTATTCCTTTTTTGTTTTGTGAAAGTGCTGACTTTAAAGTGGAATTTCCGTACATTAATCCAGTAAGTCAGGGATTGAAGGATACAAATCTCGGCGTTTCAGTAATACTTCTTCTCCTTCAATTCCTTCCTTAGTTCTATTCTGCTTAAAACATTGAAATGTATAAATTCTAGTGAAAATGCACATCAATCTGAATCTATTTATGCCTTGTTGTGGATGTCAAGCATCATCTAGTTTTTGTGTCTTTAAGTGACGATGCGGACAATATATCCTTTCTTTATTAACTTTACTTAACTTTCTTTTTTTTGGTTTTTGGATAACTCTATATTAGCTGCATAATTAAGTGTGTGTGTTTGTGTATATGGTTTCTTATCCGCCTGACCTCCACTTCCTTTAATTTGACTAGCACAAGTACTTCTTCTTGGGTTTCATCATGCGAATGCGTCATTTGGAGCCCAACCCGTTGGCCACCAGAGCACCTGGAGTGGCAGCTGCTGCGGCTGCAGCTGCAGAGGATCCACCGCCGTTGGTTCCTCCTCCACCGCCGCCGCCCCCACCACCGCTGCTTACTCCTCCCCCGCCAGCCACACCTGGAACTGGACCACCACCTGCCGCTCCAGAGCCACTGACAGCGCTGACCGCTTCACGGGCACCTGCAGCCGCAGCTGCCGCAGCTGCTGCCGCCGCCTGGAGATGAACGGCCGAGTTGGGAGTGGGTGGGGATCGGGTGGCCATGGCGCTGCGAAGGCTGCTGGCCGAGTGCAGATGCTTGGCGCTCAGCTCAGTGGCCCGCGAATTGCCGCACACCTGGAATGGAAATATAAACAAAATTGGTTAGAGTTGAGTTTAAAATTTAGTTTAAAGAATCTAATTCTTCATAATTTAAACTGGGATTTATAGATGTTCTTTATTAATAAGTAACCCCACCTGGTGATGACTATCCCAGTCCCTGTACTGACACGAGGCGCTGCAATATCGAGCCATGTTGCAGCCGGAGCAGGTTTCCGTGGCCTTGCGACCGCAATTCCAGCACTGCTGCTGCAGATTGCTGCCCTGCAAATATATAATACGTTTTTATAAATCAAAGTATATTATTTGATTTTAAGTAGACTTACATTCTGGGCACTGGTCATTGATGGTGACTTGTTGTCCAAATCTCGTTCACCGCTGGAATGACGACTCATCTCCATGAAGAACTTCTCCATGCGCAGGCGCTCCTGGGTCATGATTTCCGCGGCTCGCGTTTCAGCGGCCACCACGGCTCTTTGGATCTCAATGACAGCTTGCCGTTTGACCTGTACAAAAAATAAAAATAATGATAAGTAATTAATAATTTCTTGACTTAAAGAACACTAAACCCACCTGTGTGACAGCATCTTCGGCATTCCTCTTAAACTCGGCCACCTTCTCCTCTGTCTGCCGTCGCAGCTCTGCCATGGCTGCTGGAGTCACCTCCTGACCACTGTTCGGATGCTGTGGCTCAATGCCCCGCTGCTGCAGGATCGTTATGGCCCGCTTTGTCTTATCCACCATGGCCGAGATGCAATTGAGCATGGTGTGAATGTTCTTCCACTCTTCTTCGCCACCTGCTCCCGCTCCTGGTGCAGCTGCATTCGGATTGGGGTTTGGGTTAGGATTGGGATTGGGATTTCCCGCACGCTGTGGTGGAGCAGGATGCCTGGCCTGGGCTTCGCTCATTCGCAGATCTCGCTCATCTCGCTGCAGGAAGGCGGCCGCAGATGGCAGACCTTCAGCAGAGACTCCATAGTCCCCATAGACCACGGAGTGACCAGGATGCAGGGTCAGCCGCTTGCTAGGAGGCGGAGGATAGCCAGCTCCACCGCTGGCCATGTACTCGCTCCACTCCTGCAGACCATTGTGCCCACCGTGCTCCATCATGGAGTCCGAGGAGCGACGCTTGAAGACGCCACTGCCGCCATTGGAAGTCGGTGCCTCCAGCTGGATGAATATGTCTCCAAACTCAGCACTTTGAACTCCATGAGGAGTGAACTCCATCACCGCCTGCTCGTTGTTGGTTACGTACTGCAGCGCTGACTGGTTGGTGGCCCGGGCCATGGCCAAGATCTCGCGCTGCACCAGCGCAATGCTATTCTTGAGCAGCGGCACCACATACGGTCGCAGTGGCAGGTTGATGGCCTCCTGCAGGGCCAGCCGGAACTCCTCCACGGAAATACTGCCGCAGCAGAGCGATAGCACCAGGGCTCGCACCCGCTCACTCACCTCCGGCTGCCCGAGCTCCTGCGAGAACTGCACCAAGGCGCCCAGAAACTTTCGCATCTTGGACACCAGACGCGCTTGCTCCACATGAGCGGCTGCTGCAGCTGCGGCGGCGGCAGCCAGGGAAGCGGCATGCTGTCCACCTGGTGTGGGCGTCGGAGAGGTGCCCGAGGAACCCACGCCGCCACCATTTACCACCGGGGAAACGCTGGCCGTACGCTGTGGTCGCTGGTGGAGCTGCAAGGGCGAGTGGGGCGAGCGGGGAGCCAGGCTGCGCGAACTGTCCGGCGGTGAGTCCGGCGGAGTTCGACAAAGACGATCCCGTTCCCTCTCCCGCTCCCGTTCACTCCGACTGGAGGATGTGTGGCTGCTGTCCTTGCTGCTGCTGGACGAGGAGGAGCTCTTGTCCCCACCGCTGCTACTGCTGCCGCTGCTGTTGGCTAAGAGAGAGAGAGAGAGGAAGAGGAGGAAAGCAGAGTCAGGTTGTTAGTTGCATGTCGAGTGCGAACAAGGGAAACAAGTGCAAGTCCAAGTTCGAGACCGAGGACAGGATGTGCAGCCCGGGCGCATTACAAATGCATTAGCAGAAAGCCCAGGGAGGAGCGGAAACATATATATATATAATGCCACCGACCACAACAAGCTACAGCACTTGTCCCACAGAACTGACCCGGCCGGAGTGGCAAGTACACAGATCCAGCCAGCCAGTTAGCCAGCCAACCAACTGCCGGCATTAACAAATTTGTTTGAACATGGGAAATAAATTAGCAAACATTTTTGGCCCGGCCGAAGTGTGCTGCTGCTCTGCTGTGGTTTCAGCCCAGTCAGGCAAGCAAATCAAGCACCACATAACGCACTAATTGCTGGGCCAGCGAGGGAGGGCTTCAGATGAGGATGTTGATGGTTGGATGGTTGGATGGAGAAGCACTGGGCACAACACATTGCGGTACGTGCTGTCCTATCGCATCCATGATCCTGCCAGAGCGATGGTGTAGCTCAAAAATGAAAAGCTTAACGCAAATCCGCAGTGCGCATCTGGACGGAGAAGCTGCTGCTGGAAAAGCCACTAACCAGGCGACAAATAAGTCAGAGAGGGAATTGGTAGCAGGACTTGAAGGGTATAATATATTCCTAAAAAAGGTGTAGATAATTGTAAATTTAACTATGGTTCATTCTATCTCAAGACAAAGATTTTTTAAATTGTATTTTCATTAATGAAGATTTCAAGAACCAATTAATTTATCACAAACTATTTTCTTTCCCTCAAAGGTATTTCCCACAAAAGGTACTTGAATTCCTATTGTTTTTTCGTTGCTTTTAAAATAAAACCAAAAATGCTAAGGACACACTTGTCGCCTGCGATGGCCAAACACACACAAACTTTGTTTGCACAAGCTAATGGAAATTGTTTATGGGTGTGGGTTGCCGGGTTGCCGGGTTGATGGCTATTGGGCGACGGGTTGGATGTTCGGATGGGTGGCTGACAGACACTGTGGGTGGCGAATGCTGCTGATGACCATGATGATGAGGACGATGATGACGACAACAACGACGACGAAGGGAATGGCAGTCAGTTGATGTTGCCGCTGCTGCTGCTGTTGCTGCTACTGTTGCTGCTGCTGTGCGGCTGCTGCACGGTTTGCTTTTGTGATAATGATTGTGGATACAGCTGCAACTGGCTGTGTTTTCACAGCCATTCAGGCACGCCACCGCCATGCCAATCGAAGGGACATACACAGACACTGGCGCACTGGATAGCCACCACTCCGTGGGCCGGAGCAGGCACATGGATGGCCGGAGACATCAGTCAACCGAGTCGTCGTTGGCGGCTCTTATCAAATGCCAAACATAGACAATGATGGATCACATGGTCCCCGTCCCAGTTCTCTTTTGCTGATCCCATTCCCAGTTGTTCCCACTACTTGAATCCCCTTTTTCCTGGCTTAATTGGCTGGCATTGCCACATCCCGGCATCCCTTTTGGCCTGCGCACCCTTCCTGCCTGGGCTGGTGTACAATTGTAAAATATTGCACTTGACCGGGCTTAAAAGTTTTGGTTTGTTTTGGTTTGGTCCTGTTGTGGGAAAACCTCAACTGACCCAAAGTTGGTGCGCCCAGGGAGACCGACCGACCGACCGAGCAGCAGCTGCTACCAAGAAAGCCCACGCAAAACCGAAAAACTATTTACGAAATTCTGTGTTGACAATTCACATATTTTCTAAAACATAATGTTGGCCACTTTTTGCGGTGGAGTGAGGGAGAGGAACCAGTACAGACCTGGCAGTGTGAGAGGTTCCAACTGCTGGCCCAACATTTGCCAGCATCATGAGCTCCCTCCAGCACCGCCATCGATTTAAGGTTACGTATACGCAGCGTGGTCCCAGTCTCGAACAGCCTGCATGCTAACGGTATGGTCTTTGTACAGGCAGAGAAAAATGTAGTAGATTTATTGGATCTAAACTATTCATAGTAATTTTAACTAATGTGAAGACTGAATAAACATATCTTTGCAGGGTATTATAATTTTATCTTGTTATTGTGTGACTATGAAACAACCAACCGTATAAATCGTATATATTCTTGATCAGTATCGATAGCAGAGTCTATCTAGCTATATATTAAAGAAAAATAATTTTTTCAATATTTTCGATCTTTTCAAAATAGACATGCTATCCGAATTAAAATTAATGCATTTTTGGCTTAGTTATGGAATTTTTAAGCTCTGATTTATTAAAAAAAAATATCACATACATAAACATATATTTAAAAATATAAATATTTAGGTCTTCCGAAGGCCATAAAATCCCTAAAACGCCACGGATTGGCAAAAGTCATATGTATTCCGACTCGCAATTAAAAACCCTAATTGGTTAATAACAAAATATTAAGAAAACAAAATTTTAAAAAGATTTCAAATTTTTGAATATTTTTAAAGGGATTACATCGTTAAAATTTTAAAAAATTGAGAAAAGCGTCAAATTTTTACAATCGAAAACTAAGTATGTAGATTTGTTAACCAAATAAAAACGAACACAGAAAAGCTTTCCATACTTAAATTCATAAATTTTTTTTATATAAATATGAGTATTTAAAATTTTTATTGTTCAATAAAATCCTCAGACAAATTCCCTGAAATTTTCTTTGCTTCTAATCTCCTTTTCATATGCTTTTAAAATAAATTCCTAAATTTTCTCAGTGTACTTTCCTGCCTGTGTGTGAGTGTGTGCCTCCTCTGTGATTGTGTATATGTGGGCAACAGAATTTGCACAGCTGCGTCCCATAGATTGCAGTCGAGCGCACAAAACGAAACGTTGGCAAGTTTAGTTTGTTGTTGCTGCTGCTGTTGCTGCTGTTGCTGTCATTGCTGTTGCTGGCATAGTCATTTGGGAAAACAATCATTTTGGCAAATATTCATCATGCACTGCTTCTGATTATCATCGGCAGCGGCAGGGGATGGAACTGGGCGAGAACTGTGGGCGCTTAAGAGCCTTTGCCATAGCTCGGCTTGAATGAGGCAAATGGGCATCCAATAAGCTCTCGCCCTCAGCCTTCCCGCTCGGAAAATGCTAATTGCTGGCGAGAGGAAAGAAAATCGAGCGACTTAAATGCTGGGCCACACATCATTTGCCTGGGAACTGGCACAGGTAGCGCCAATCAAAGCAACGACCGCCTTTGGGGTTCCCCGAGAGGCGAAAGGCAGGCAACAAAATTCTCGTCTGCGTGCGGGCTGCTGCTCCTGGGAACAATGCCAGCAGCGGTTTTCCCCACTTTTCCTTCTGTGTGTTTTTTTTTACTGGGGTATGCGGGGTAAAAACTAGCAAAATGCTCTTGGCCCTTACCATTTGCAAATTTGGGGAACTTTCCTGACTGTGGGCTGTGGTCTTTGCCCCAAAAAACCATTTAAAAAGTAACGAATTTCCAATGCTCTGATGTGCAGTTTAAGTTGGCAATGCAAAGGATACAGACTCTCCGACCAGATTCCTCTGCAAAGTAACGATTTAAAGCTTGTGGGGACACTCACAGCTGCTGGAGTTCACATCATTGAGGGTACATTGTAAAAATACAGGACTATGAAGGACTATGAAACAAAGTCTTTTTATAGAGATTTTAAGGTAAGTGAGGTATGAATATAAATAAAAGATGATCAAGAGCTTGATAAGGATAATTCTATTAGAACTTTAGGAAGCATCCATAAGAAAATCATATTGAATTTCATTAAATGATGTGGAATTCAGGTTTAATTTAAGGTAATATATCTGACACATTTTCTCCCGATCTCGAACCTCATCTTGCACTCATATTTTTCTCTCTGTGCATGCGCATTGATGTATGCTACACTTACCTTTAAGCCTGCGACTAATTGCTGCCGCTGTGGCAGCTGCCGCTGCTGTGTTGTTGGAGGCCGCCGCTGCTGCTGCTGCCGCTGCCGCTGACGCTGATCCCGCCGATGACGAAGACGATGACGCGGGCGGCACTTGGACAGCCTGGACAGCTGCGGTGGCCACTGCCAGTGCGGCACCTGCTGCCACTGCCGCCGCTGCTGCTGCGTCGTAGGCGTCCTTGTCGGTAATCTCCTCCTTAATTATCGCCTTGCCGTCGAGCGCCATCTGGAAAAAGGTCGGAAAATAGTTAGCCAAGAAAATTGGTTAGAAACGGGTCGCTGGGTGGCTTCCCCCCACGCACAGCTAATTTTCCTCCCTCCGGGGCAGACTGCACAGGTTCCCAGAGCGGCGGGCGATAGACAAAAACATCAAGTGACAAAGTTCTCACATTATGTTTTCAACTTATTTGATTTCAATTTGATTAAATGGTTGTCTGACATGCAAATTGGGCGCGCCAGCACACAAATATACACACTCGACGGCGAAAGAAGACCTTGGGCCGTTCCTTGTTCGAGTCGTGAAGAAGAATGAACAGCTGCCGCTTTAATTTGGCCAAATTGCTTTCGATTTTTAAGAGGTTAAAATGCAGAAAATTCAGATATGCAGAGACAACTACACAATAAGAGTTTGATTATATTAAAATATTAATTAAACGCTTTAAAACTAAAGGGCTTCTGTTGTAAAATGGGTGTAGTGTTGTCTAAGACTTATTTATTATTATATTTCAAAAATAGTTTTGTTTCTGAAACAGAGACTATTTTTATATTTTTCTGACATATTGTAAAACCATTGATAGTTATAAAGTTTTAATGTTTCAATTTTCAATTTAATGAACTAAGTTAGAGCTCAAAATTAAATTTAAAATCCATTCTAAACACCGAGAAATTAATTAAAATATATAAAAATATAAATATACCTTGGAGCACTTATATACTCATCCGTTTCATTTTATCCCCCTTGTCTTTAGAGGATTAATTTGCTTTAGTGACATTTAATTTTCGTTTATTTTCAATTCTCACAATTCCTACAAATTTCAACAAATTCCTTGGATTTTTGGGTTCCTACAAAAATAGGCAGGAAAAACATAAAACAATTTTCAGGCAAAGAGCACCGACAGCTGCCAACAGTCCACACGCCGTCGACACCTGTTCGGTAATTGAGTTGAAGAACTTTTTATTCGAGGCGGCGCCCCAACTAAATGAATTTTCCCCATTGGGAAATCTTCACGCTTTTGTCGAAGGGAGGCTGGGTGTGGGGCGGGCAGTAGTCTTGCTAATTGACTCGCCAACTGCATTTCCTGTTTACCCCGCGATTCGAACTTTTACGTGGGGGGGGGAGTTCCGGTCACCCAGTCGGCATTAGGCACTCCGCACTCTGTGCTCAACCCCACCTGGACTCGCTCATGTCCAGCTCGCATGAGGGGAAGCATTTTTGTGTTGATTTTTATCACTAAAATATGTAAATACCTTTGCAGACTGTGGGAGTTTGTGCAGCTTGCCTTGCCTCTGCGTAAACAAGAGCGGGGGTAAAAACAACAAGAAAAACACGAAGGAAAGGCGAAAGGTTGTGAGGGGCACAGGGGCGAAGGCAATGTAAACCTGTTCGTTTTCATTCATGTTTTCGATCAATCTCTTGCTGCTGCTGCTGCTACTTCTACTGCTGCTGTTTTATTTTCGCCGAGGTGCAAGAAATGTTTAGAGCAATTGTTTAAAGTCAATCGTCGCGTCCGCCTAGCAATATTTACAATCGAGTGGGGGTCTCGGATCTCGGATCTTGGATCTCAGGTCTTGGGTCTGTGGCAGACCGCACTGCCGCTCATCAGTTGCCGCAGCTGTTTGGCATCAGAGCGAAATTACACACAAATGCCGCAAATGAAATTCTATTAAAAACAAACACTTGACACGCCGCCAGCTGCCGACTAATGACGACCCAGGCCCCATCGCTGGGAAAGTCCAGGCCCCAGATCTTAGGCTGAACCCATCCCCGTCTGAGCACTTGACAACTGTTTTTGCGAGGTCTTTTTCAGAGCAGTTTGCAAAAAAACACAAAAACATGCGTGGGGCGTGAGGCGGAGGAGTAGATTGGGATGTTTCCAAAGGGGGGGCGGCGAACAACAAGTGTTTGTGAAAGGCGGCAGGTGAGCGTAATTGTGAGCAGGGAAAGCAGCAGCAGGAGGAGGGTATAGAGGTTGGCTGACTCACTTAATAGCCCCAAACCGAACCGAACCGAACCGAACGGAGGCAGCCAGCAGCTGCCGCTTTTGGCCCTGGCTATGACGAATGAATCAAATGTCAGGAGCAGCCGTGTCGTTGTCGCTCAAGCAGCTGTCGCCTGTCGTCGCCAGAAGGCGCCCCCAGTGCCCTCGGCTGCCTCATCCTCCAGAGCCACACCATACACCCCACCTTCCGGCGCCTGTGGGTAAGGCAAGCACTTCAAAGAGCTGGAAGAGCCTCGCAAGCTTCCATCGCAGCAAAATGGAAAATGTCGCCCGCAGAAGTTTTTCCCACAAAACTTGGGCCAGCTGAAGCTGAAGCCGTAGCTGGAGCCCGAGTAGCGCCAGAATCCCTGAATGTGGGAGACGGAGGCGGAGGCTGGGGCTGAAGGCTGAAGGCTGAAGCCTGCGACGGCTGCAGGCGAAATTGCCAAGAGGAAAAGTAATTATTTAAGCAAAAGCCCACCACAGTGGGACGGGGCGGACCAGCTGCTGATTTATAATAAGAGTCGAAACTAAGGAAAAATCATTTTGATTTGATTATTTCGATAGATTTGATGCATATTTTTACAATAAGGGCTGATTGTTATGATCTTTAGGGTGTTGACAAAGCAAGAGCAGGGATTGAGCAAGAGTATTTTATTTTAAGGCGATATAATATATTTCTTAGACTAGTTTTAAGGATTTACGTGTTCTGTTTTTGAAACTTTATAGATTTGTAAAAGTCTTTTTGAGTAGAATATATAAGAGACCTAATTAAATTTCATTTACAGAAATCTCAAATATTTATTTCTTATCAACTCTTTCAAAATCCAGACATATCTCAACCCCTATCTTTATTTTTTCCACCCTTGAAGGTCCAGCAACTGTTAACCAGTCCCGTGCTCAGCAATTGGACAAATGAATAGCAATCGCAAAATACAATTTTCACTGCATAATTTTCAATTAGGCTGGCAAAGATCATAAAAAACAAAAGGACGAATTTTAAAACGACATTCATTTAATTCCTTTGTGGGCCAGGCACTGAGAGGGGGGCGTGCCAGTTGCGAGCCATGTGCTGGACACACAGCAAAGCATTTTATACTTTTATCCCTTTTGCTAACAAAAACACACTCCAGCACACATAGAGCAGGCGGGAATTGGGAGCCACAGGACGCAGGACGAAGGACGAAGAGTGGTTAGCGAAAAGGCGCGCCAACTGAAATAACAACAACAGACGCGCCGTGGGAATGAGGGTTGAAGGCCAGCAACAGCAGCCGTGAATGAGGGAAGGTGGGAAATGGGTGATGGGAGAGCTTGGAAAATCACAGCACAGCTGCATGTGCTTTCCCGGTAAGCTGCCCATTTTCCTGACCCCCGCCGCCTCCGACCCATCCCTGTCCTGCCACATGTGTGTGTGTGTGTGTGTGCGAATGACAACCAACTGGACCTCGGACCTCGAACCATGGAACTCCAGGGCACTTTGTATTGCGGACTCCGCATTGTGCGTCATTATGCGCAAGTGGCGCCACTGCCCCTGCTCCTGCTCCTGCTCCTGCTCCTGCTGCTTCCTGCTGCTGCTGCTGGGAGGGATTACTGGCGACGACACCTGTGCAGCAGCAGCAACATCAGAGCGATTCCCTGCCGGAGCCCCAGTGTGTGTGAGTGTTTTACAGTTAAAACTTTTTTGCAACTTGCTGCGTCAGCTGCTTCATTACACATGGAGCTACAAATGTATGCTGGCGGAGGCGGCGAAAAAAAGCAGGATCCGAATGGGTTGCGCGAAGAGTTCTTGGGGTTGGGTAATTAGCATTAACAGCTGTGGGTCGTCCGATAAGGGCGATGCCGGGTGCTTAATTATACACTAAGCGCCGACAATTATAGCCATTCGAACATTATGGTTTATTTTCCATGTACTGTGAGAAATGTGCCAAAGCGTTTACTAAGCTTTAAGGCTACAGAAATCGATGTGTGGTCTAAAGTTCAAAGAGAGCTGTAATTTTAATTATTATTTGTTACCACTAATTGGTGAATTTGGTGGGGATTGAGTGGAGTGTCTGGGTCTTGTCTTATTATACTTTAAGGGTCAAGGTTATCTAGGGGAAGAGGTGGGTTAAAACATAATTCTTCTAGACTTAATTACATTCCATAAATCCTTTTCAATTCCCAGTAAAAGAGACTTAGATGTATTTAAAATCTCCTTCCTATTTCATTTACCATCTAAATTCTTCACTCAACCAAAACTAATTCAATAAAGGGCTGAAAACCCTTTAATTTACCATCATTAGCTTGCAATAAAATTACGTAATTGGTTGATTCTTTGAGGAAACTTCAGCGGCAACCCTCGTCAACTATTTGCTAAGCGCCTCTTCGTCTGCCAGAGTGTCTGTTGGAAACGTGCCGCAGCATTGGCGTCATTTTAAATTACACCTCGCTCACACACACACACACACAGAGTCGCTTTGCCAGTCAGCAACAGGAGGCGGAGGAAGGGAGGTCGGGGTTGTGACACCAACATTTTTGCACTACTCGCCGCACGTGCCACACCCCCCTTGGACCGCCCCTTGATTCACCCTTCATTTGCAGCCAGTGTGTGTGAGGCATAATAAGATAATGGCTTGTCACAGGACAGCAACAACATCAGCAGCAACAGCAACAGCAACAGCAGCAGCAGCAACATCAACAGCAGCAACTACAGGGGAAAAACAGTTGAACGAGTGTCGCGCTTAATCGGCTTTATGGTCTGTTTTATTTCCAATACGAACTGCTTTACGTTGAGTGTGCCACAGCCACGAGGGGGGAATGAATACTGGAGAACATTTGGCTGCCACATGTTGCCCGCAAAACGTATTTAGGCATCCCAATTATGCCACAGCCAGCAGCTGATGGCCGCCAGCTGCCCATGTTGCTGATGATGCTGCTGCTGCTGCTGCTTCTCTTCCTGCGGCGCGCTGCCTGAATGCAATTTCCCAACGTGCTCCGCAATTGAAGATTTTCCAGCTGCCACGGCTGCCGGCGCTTGTTCTCGTCTGAT